ATTGAAGTATGTAATCTTAATTTGCTAAAACAGACACACATTAACATCTAATAATCAATGGATTATTTTTTAGCTATATTAAGGTTGTTTTGTTTTGAGGTTAGTGTCAAGCCAAAATGCTGTAAAACCGCAATACCAGGTACGTTTGTAAAGTGTTTTCAACATTATTTCAAAAGTTTAAGCAATACTGAAATCAGTTAAGCAATACTGAAACCAGTTTAAGCAACACTGAAATCAATTCTGGTATGGCACATTACTGTATAATTGCTTTTTATGTACTGGTAATTGATCAGATATGGGGCTTTGATAGCCTCGAGAGCTTTCGAATACCATTTTGCATAAAAACATCCTATGAATTCTGCTAAGATATTTCTTTCTTATAAATGTGGTTTATCTTTCTGAACAAATTAAATCTGATTTAAAAGAAATTGCAATTTGAGATAATATATAGCTTTTCCAAGACACCTGGCATGATGAACAGCCCCGCTAATGTTTTGAAGAACTGCTGGTTTGTAGTGTTCGTTTTTTTTAGGCAAAGGCTAGCAGAAACAAACTCTGACTCAAAAATTGGGACACTTGGTTGAATAAAGACTTAAGAAAAAAGTACATTGTGCATTTATGTTGCGGTGTTTTTTACCAAGGATTATGAATGGGGAATCTTTGTGATTCCACTGATAGGTTTTTGGTTTTGCCCCCCTGATAGTGGTTATGTAGCTCTTCTTGTTTTCTCTTAATGAAAATACAGCTCTAAAACTCAGTTTAATGGTTCTGAGGCCGGCCAGTAAAAAGTTTTTTAAACTGTGTAATAGCTCTAAGAGAGACTGATTCCATCAATAACTGTAAAGTATTAGTTTATTAACAGTGTCACAATGCGCATGTATAGTGTCTGTGTTAATAACGAGCTAACTGTTCAATATATCTTTTTATATTTGTGGTCTTTGCTAACTGTTCAATATATCTTTTTATATTTGTAGTCTTTGAAAGTAACCAAGCGGGCATTTGTTTTTAAAAGTTGCTTTCTAAATGTATTTTAAATGTCTTTTAAACGTCTTCTTAACAATTTTGCGTAAAGAACGTTTTAAAGACGTTTATAATCTTTCAAAAGACATTTAAAACGTACCTTTTAAAAACAAATGCCCGTAGAGAATCATCCATCAATTAAACATTACTTTTTATAAAATTAACCAGGTTAAATGGTCTTTGTAAGACCAATTTAAATCTAGCTGTTTCTTCTGCAAATCTGTTTGAAGCTCCAATAGTCAGATATTGATTTGGAGGAATACTACGCAATAATTCACCTATTTGTCTAAAAATTAAAAATTTGAGATCTTTGATCACTATTTTATGTGCTTTCGTCTAACATCTTTTCACTGTATTGCTTTTCTTATTGTTCTTTATCACTATCGATGTTTTTCTAATCAACTTAATTAGGCTCATTTTCTTTATCTCTGTTCTATATTTGTTGCTGTTGTTGACTTTATTGATCATCACATAAATGGGTTGACTCTAACACCATTGACCCTGCATCACTAAAGTCCATAGTTTCTGCACTTCTGAATTTCTGATTGAATTTTCAGAAACTTGTTTTCAAGACAACCCTTATCAGTTACCTTCACACATTGAAATGAATCTTATATCTGACCCAAACTTGCGTTAAATTTTTTCTTTTACTGCTATAGGTGGTTACAACAATGCAATAGTCCTTATGAATCATTCATCTTGTACTCCTTATTTAAACTCACCCTACCGTCGCATTACTTAATACATAACTACCTGGGTGAGAGATGGCAGGAATGTAAACTTTTATTCCTTTTTGTTCGTTCCAAGTCAAACTTAATTCTACTCTAATGATTTTTATCTTTTTGTACACCTCTTATATCTAATCGTAATCGTTCGTTTTTGTTTTTTTTAAAGAACAACTCTCTTGTTAAGAAACGCTTATTATTTATCGGGAGAAATCAATGGAAAAACGATGATTTCTAATGCAAAGCTCTACTCCTCCGGGTTCACTAAATCTCGTATCTTATCTGAGAAGTTAGGCTCCAAAGACTTTTGAAAAATTTTTAACAGCCTCTTTTACTTTTTACTTTTTCATTGTATATATATATATATATATATATATATATATATATATATATATATATATATATATATATACTAATATATATATACAAATATATATATATATACATATATATATATATATATATATATATATATATATATATATATATATATATATATATATATATATATATATATATATATATATATATATATATATATATATATATATATATATATATATATCATATATATATATATATATATATATATATATATATATATATATATATATATATATATATATATATATATATATATATATATATATGTATATATATATATATATATATATATATATATATATATATATATATATATATATATATATATATATATATATATATATATATATATATATATATATATATATAAATATATATATATATATATTTTTTTTTGTTCAATATTTAATCATGCTTTTAGTTTATTTTAATAAATTTTAAGGTTACTAAAATGTGGAGCATCTGCACGGAAAACAGTTAAAAATGTGTTAAATTCTATCATGGAATACCGCCAATATTTGACGAGGATGGAAAAAAAGGAAAAAGTAGTTTTACGAGCACTCCTTATTACAAATGCATAAAAAGTGAGCATTAAATGCAAGTTTGAAGCTAATGCATCTTATATAAGACTTAATTAATTTTGTTAATAGTAAATAGCAGAACGTGAAACAGTAGTACATTATTCATTTTCTTCCATTCATTATTTGCAAATATATTTACGGTCGTTTTTTATTTTAATTTTTTATCTATGACTTTCCAAAACTATTACCAAGTATTTTAATATAAACTTTTATTGCAGGTATCTTTTAGTGTGTTGGCTTTTCGGAAATCAAATTTAAAAACAAAATTTATTCACTTTGTTTTTTAATTTAGTTATTTGTTGTTTTTTTTATTTTTCAAAACATGCTTGATGATTGACAGACAATTTTGTTACAAATACTTTTTTTTTTTAGATACTATTGCTGGAGACAAAATTTGTTATGATGCAAGCAACATCGAGGATGCCATTGGCGGCACATTAAAACAAGCCAAAAAATAATGTTTTTGCTAGATTGTATTTATATATTATTATTTTCAAAAATATTATTTTTTTCACTTTTTTGCAATGATTTGTGTCAATACTGGGATTTAATTATTTATGAGGTAGCTTTATTATTATTTTCCTAATAAGAGTTGCCACTCGATTTGAATCCCAAACACGTGTATATCAAGTTTAGGCTTTGTTGAAAAAAAAAAAGACTTTATTTCTGATATCAAGTCTCCATTTTTTATAGTAGCTAGAAATGAGGTAGGTATGAGAATGAGATGAATAAAATTAAACGCTAATTAAACGGACAAAATTTAGACGTCTATAAGACGTCCAAAAGCGTCTATTTTAGATATTCGAACAGAACGTTTTGGACGTCCTTTGTCGTACTTTATAGGTCCAACAAAAACGGACGAAAGTTAATGAACTTGTTGCGTCCATAGTACGTCCACGGACGTCCATTTAGACGTTTGAATGGACCATTTTGGACGTCCTTGGACGTACTTTGGACGTCCGTGTGTCCATTAGGTTGTTTTAAAGATAACTATTTGTTACCTTTAAAACAAAGATATTAGATTTACAAGATTTTGCGTAATGCAACCAAAATGGTACATTACTGTTGGAATTATAAAAACAATGTCGTTTAAATGACCACTTGTGATAAATAGCAAAAGCAGGATTCCAGATGTAAATTTTTTTTGTAAAATTAAAATAACGACAACAAAAACAGAATTATGTTATTATTCAGCTAAACAAAGCTTTTAAATAAATCAATTTCCTAAAAAAATAGATATTTTTCTACTTCAATTTTTGCTAAGATTACTGAGCCTGATATTACTACTTTTTTAAAAATATTGTCAGCAAAATCTATAAAAATGTAAAACATTAACAAAGTTACTAAAACTTTGTATTTCTTTTTTAAAAATGTAATACTCGTTTGTAAATAATTTAATAAAGTAAAAAATACATATGAAGTTTACTAAACTGTTTTTAAATGATCCAATTGATTTGTAAAAAATGATGATATATTAGGCGTCTAGTTTTAAAAATTATTTTAAAATAAAATCTTTTTATATTTGTTAAAAAAGTAGTAATTAATAAATAACTAGTAATAATTAAAACAAAATTTTAAACTGAACTTATTTTGCCTTTCTATAACTCTTCCTGTTATGTGGTTTACACCACAATTTTTTTTTAAGTTATGTTATTATTGATAACACGCGTTATAATTATCAGAATAAGAATATGTTATCTAGAGTTACTATAACGGATTTTTTATTATTAGAAATAATAAGAGATTACTTAACAATTTATTTCAAAAAGATGAAGTTATTTCGCGGGATGGTGTAACCATAAATGTAAATTCATAATATAATAATTCTGAAACAAATAATCATATAAGAAATGATGACTGTGTCGAACAGCAGTGTTGCACTATATCATTTAATATAAAAAAGCTGCTGCTAGGATTCAAACTTAGATTAATGCCTTTGATGCACATGACAACGTACACACTTCTCTAACCATTTGAAGAGCCACAAAGATCAATGAATCTTTTTATGAAACTGAATGCTATCTGATGTCTGAAGCATTTAATGGGTCAATATTTTCTGATGACTTTTGTTATCTATTTTGAATTATGCTAATATTAAATGGAACATTGATTGAAAAACCATTTAAACAAGAAATCTCTCTTATCTAAATTATGAATGCATAGGTGTTCTAAAAAGAATGTATTGAAATAAAATTTTTGATTAAAATTATATATTACGATGAATGACTTTCTTTTTAGTTATCATCAATAAAATCAAATACTTTTCATAGCTTAATTTATAAGTAAACATTATATTTTCCTTTATAACATATAACAATACTATTATTTATAGTTTTTATTTTTTTAAATCGAATTGAAAATAAAATTTTATTTTGACAAAAAACATGCACATATGTAGACGTGTTATTATTTATCGGAGCATTATCATATAATGTTGAATCTATTTAAAAAAGGCTTCACACGCTGCTATTTGAGAACATCTTTCTCTTGTTATAATCATTGGTTTTCTTTTAATTAGGTCCATCTCTATAATATTATTTCTATGCGTACGTCCATAAATAAATGCGTTGTTCGAATCGTATCCTTTCACGTCCAGCACATTAATTGGTAGAACTAAAAAAAGCGTAAATATATGTAAACTTTAAACTTTGATTTTTTTTCTTTTGAAATCATTTTTAAATAAGAAAAAAAAAAGAAGAAAAAACACAAAATAGAAAGGGAAGAGGGCGAAGGAGGTAGTGTAGTATCAGGTTAACAGTTGTTAATTCTTAAAAAGGAGATAAACAGTTATCATAATCATGATTAATAAGTTAAAAAGAAATATTTCATTAGTTATTATAACATTTTAATATTAGTCAATAGTTATTAATTCAATAGTTCTAAAAAATAATTTTAAACTATCTTTTGCATATCCAACCTAACAAAGTTCAGTAAACTAACAATTTCATTTCGTTAATTCTTTATATCTTCAAACTTATGAAGTTTTAAAAAGTTAATCTGTGCCAAGTTTTTATATAGCGGCAACTGCATTTTTTTTTTTTTTTTTTTTTTGATAAGGGTGTGAGGTTTAAAAGGTTTATATTTTTAAGTGCTGGAAATGTGTCCTTTTACTATTATTTTATAAGGTACTTGTAGAAATTATGCAAAGCTAAAATTTGGTAACAAAAGACCTTAAAACCTATTTAAATTGAAAACTGTAGATTTGTATCTCTCAAAATAACAAAGTATAACCTATTTTAAGATATTCAAAACACACTAACTAATGACAAATAAAAAAGAGTATGGACAACTTAGCTCTAATAAAAATCTGACTAATAGAAAAAAAATTAATTTTACTTTTCTTAAAGATTAGACATATATCTACTTTACCAAGCAGTTTTGTTTAGGCCTATAATTTGCTGAGGAGTTATAAATGTTTTAGCTTTTTAATTTTTCTGTAGAAAGTTAAAATAAAATAAGTTAGCATTTTGATATTGAACTTATACAATTATGTTTGTTTTAAATCTTATTTTGAGTCAGTTAGTTTTAAAAAAAAAAGTATGTGTGTCATCTGATTTAAATATTAACAAAGTTGTCACAAACTACTGTTCAATATTTTTTTACTTAGTAAAGTCATAAAATGTTTATCAAAAAATGCAAATAAGAATTATAAAGACTTTGATATTGTTAGTTAAGCATCCATTTAAAATAAAAAAGATGGTGTAAATATACACTTTACAGCTGTTGGAGTATCTCCTAATGTATAAGTCAGGTAAAATCAGAAAAAGTAAATGAAAATTGACAACATTAACAACCTCTGTTAAAAAAAAAGTAGCTACCTCCGCTCATATATGAGAAGAAATTTTTGAAGAACAGTCAAGTTTTGGTAATAAGTATATGGAAAACCCAAACATGTATGATAACATGATAGTGTTGTGATAAAATAACTTCTAAAACTAAAATAATAAAATTGCAGCAATATTTAAAAAAAATAAACTGACAACACTTGCTCCAACTGACTTGTCAATTAAAAAAGTTTCTAAAACATTGCATTTTGCAAATTATGTAGGTCGATCTGCTCGTAAGTTAGCATTAGAAAAAAGTGTTTTAGCTACGCCTAATCATAAATTAAGAAGAAGCTCCTCCTGGTGTTACAGCTGAACTGGTAAAGTCATTTTATGAACATGATTAATATTGCCATACAATGCCTGGTAAAGAGGACTATGTAAGCATTAATAAAAAATTTTCGCATGCAAAAAAGTTTGCTTTTGTCTAATAAAAATAGGTTCTTTAAGGTTTCACGCATTGTGACCTAAAAGGTGTATTATTGCCGGTGCTTTAGAAACACATTTAAGGACTGAAGTTCCCGAAAAACGGTTCTTCGGTTCTTCGGTTCTTCGGTTCTTCGGTATTTTTCGGGGAATCGAATGGAATCGAAGGTTTTGGTTCCTTATCAGAATAGGAATCGAAAAGAGCCGAAGTTTTCGGTTCCTTATAAAAAAGGAATCGAAAAGAACCGAAGTTATCGGTTCCTTATCAAAATATGAATCGAAAAGAATCTAAGTTATCGGTTCTTTATCGGAATAGGAATCGAAAAGAACCGTAAATTGATTACTAACCTTTTTTTAATAATATACTTCCGTTATAATCAATATTTTCGATTCTTTTCAATATTTTCAATATTTTCGGTAATTTCGATTCTTTGTAATAAAAACGGTAAATTTCAATTATTAATTAAAAAGTCGTTTTTATTGTAAAGAATCGTTTTTATTACAAATACGTTTTAATAATGGCGTGCAAAATTAAATTCAAATTCATTCAAATTTAATTTCCCTCCCCTAAGGGATTAATTAAAAAATCGTTTTTATTGTAAAGAATCGTTTTTATTACAAATACGTTTTAATAATGGCGTGCGAAATTAAATTCAAATTCATTCAAATTTAATTTCCCTCCCCTAAGGGATTCCCCTTTACCAGTATAGTTAGTGGGGTTTTGTGAAAATCTAATCAGTTACAATTTATTGTTTCACAAACAACTCTTTACAACAATTTACAATAATGTCTCAAGTTAATAATGCAATTTGGAATTATTTTACCAAACTACCAGAAGTGACAGTGAATTCTGACACCAAAAAGAAAACTTATAAATCAAGTTGTAATCAATGTCAAGCAGTGTTAACTTGCTGCCATGGAAGTACATCAGGAATGAGTAAACATTTAAGGTAAGTAATGTTTTTTCAATTTTTTCAGTAATTTCGATTCTTTTCAATATTTTCAGATTTTTTGCAATTTAAGTTAAAATTAAGTAAAGATTTACTTTATAAAAAAATAAAAAAATAACAATAGTTCTGAATAATTAAATAAACATAAGCACTGATTATTATTTATTATACAGTAACAGCTAACAGTAATACTGTTTGTTACATTTAATTTAATATAGCGCCATCTATAGGAGTTATTTAAATTTTTTCGATTCTTTTCAATATTTTCAATTATTTCGGTAATTTCGATTCCTATCCCTATAATTATTTAATTTAAATTTTTTTTTATACAGATCTCAGCATCCCATTCAAGCCAAAGCTTATATTAAGGCAAAGAATGACAAGGTAGTGCAACTGGCTGCTGACAGTGAGGAAGTTGAAAAGGAGCTTGATAGATCTTCAAGTTTGAGAGGTTTCTTTCCAGCAACAACCACTAGTAAAAAAAGGCTGGATAAGCTTAGTAAAAAGTCTCCACCATCCAGTCAGCAAGGTGATCATGAAAAACTTCAAGTAACTCTGGATGAGTATGTTAAGGGGAGAAAAATATTGAAATTTTTTAGTAGCTTAAATAATCGTTTTTATAACATTTTACCGTTTTTATTTGTAAATATTCGAATCAAAATCAAGCCCAAATTGGTAAATTGAGAAAAAATATTTCTTCAAAAAAAACTCGGATCTTTTAGGCGCCGTTTGAGCCATGCAGAAAATTTTTTTTTTCTCAATTTACCAATTCGGGCTGGATTTTGATAAAACTAATGTTAGAAATCTATTTTTATATTAAACTTTTTTGCCCTTTTCCAAATTTATAATATACTTTAAAGTTTAATAACTCTGTAAATTAATATAAAGTTAAATTTCCACACTAGACAACAATTTAATGATTCCAAATTAATGTCCATTTTGCTCTAAACTCAATATTAACAAAGTTATTGAGGTTTAAAGTTTTTGATTTGACCTGTCACCTAACACGTGCATGAGATTTAGTAAACACGTGTTTTTCAAACGTTTCAAAACTTTAAAGGCTTTTAACTTTAAACTTCTTTGTTTTAATAGATAGAGTGATTAGCACTGTCTCTAGAAACTGCAACAACTTACCCATATATATTAGGTTGTGAGGTCTTGTTTAACGTAATTTCGGTTCCTTGCGGTAATTTCGATAATTTCGATTCCTTTCGATATTTAACATTTTTTTAATATTTCAGATAACTAAATGGGATTCACAAAGCAGCTGTCAGCTTGATTTTGATACAGTTCTCACTCTGGCCTGCATCATGCCAAATCTTCCTTTCAATATTGTGGAAACTCCAGGAATGAAGTTGCTCTTGAACTATTTGGCACCAAAAGCAATCATAAAACACTTGCTACAACAAAGCTTGACATGATTCATCGTAATGTTGAAAAGGCAATAACCAATCAACTTGAGGAAGAAGTACCAGAATTACCAGAAGAAGTACCAGAAAATTGTAGCTTTTACATCAGATGGTTGGACTGCAAAAAATGGTGATCTTTTTGAATCTCTCACACTCCATTACATCAAGAGTGATTTTGAGTTGAAAAAGTACAGTTTGGACTACCAGGCTCATTTAAATAGGAAAACAGGTCCTTTACTTGGCAAGTCTTGGCAAGGCCTGACCTAGAAAGAACATGTGTGACTGATGGTGCAGCTAACATGAAGGCAGCTGTCAGTTTAGCAACTTTATTGGAAAAGCAATTGGTGTGTGTTGATCACATGTTGAACAATTGTTTGAAAGACACATTAGGAAATGGTGAGGTTAAGGTAATTGTTGATAAGTGCAAGAGACTTGCTCAAAGGACACATCAAAGCACTAAGAATTGGTATGAAATCAAACAAGAATGTGAATCTCTAGGGTGTAATCCAATCAAGCTAATCCAACCAGTGCAAACAAGATAGAATTCAAATGCAACGCTGTTCAAGTCAGTGTTAAGAAATGAGCAAGGTTTGAAGTCTGTCAGAGATAACAGCCTGAATGCAAACTTGACAATACTTATACCAAGTGATGAAGATTTTTAAGTAATTGCAGAACTTCATCCTTTCTTGGCAAAATGTCAAGAATACTCAGAGATTTGGTCCTCAGATAAAACACCTACAGTTCACAAGATCCAGCAACACCTCTTTTCATTTATTACTATATGCCATAGGACAGTTACACAAAATACTTCAGGTAAAAAATTTTTTTTTGTGATTCTTTCGATTCTTACTAATAATTTCAATGATTATCAACAAATTATGCAATTTTGATTATTTATTCATTTTTCTCTTTTCCAGGTTCAATAATTGCTAAAGATGCAATGACCAGGTTTATAAAGTACTTGGAAACTAGGATTCCAGATAAAGGCACTGAAGTTAATGACT